TGAGTAGACTGATGCAGTGGCGGAGAGGTGGCAGATAGTTTAATAAGACAAATGCAAAGTTCTAAATGTTGGGCGGGACAATACCATGGCCACATATAAACTAAATAATGCGTCTTAAATTACGGGTTTTGAAAAAGATTTAGGAGTTCTGGTTACATAATCTGAAACCAAACAACAGTGCAAAGTGTTCGCAATAAAGCTAATAGAATCCTTTTTGGGTTTATATCAGAAGCATAAATAATAGGATCCTCAGGTTGTTCTTAACTCTAACATCTTGGGTTAGGCCTCATTTAGATTATCTGCACAGTTTTGGGCACCGATACAGAATGGATATAAATGCTCTGGAAATGTCAAAGGGGGATGACAAAGGTGATCCCATGATCAAAACCTCCTATGAGGATAGACAAAGGGGCCCCGAATCTTCCTCCTAAAAGACGTGAATTAGGGGGGGAAATGATTTGGGTGTAAAAAAAAATTGGAAACAGGATAAATAAAAGGGGGTGTAAATATGTGCTGAAAAAAACTAGCCAGCAGGACCACAGCAATGGGGTTTTTTAAATTAGAAAAATTCAGATTCAGGGAAGGGTATAGGAAAATCTGGTTTGGTAAAAAGAGTTGTGGATGGTGGAACAAACTCCCCCCAAATCAGTTTTAGAGGCCCAAAAGTTTGTAGCTTTAAAAATAGGTTGGATAAATACATGAGTGGATGTGGGTGGGTGTGAGTTGGACCTGATTAGCTTGTGGTACCAGGACGGTTGCCGTGTTCCTCCCTTAAGTCAAGGTGACCTGACCTGACTAGGTTGGGTGCATTGGCTTAAGCCGGTAGGAGACTTGGACCTGCCTCGCATGGGCCAGTAGGCTTGCTGCAGTGTTCCTTCGTTCCTATGTTCTTATTTCCAACTGCTTATAGTAATCCACCACCTATTCTATGCATTTCCAACTGCTTATAGTAATCCACCACCTATTATATGCATTTCCAACTGCTTATAGTAATCCACCACCTATTCTATGCATTTCCAACTGCTTATAGTAATCCACCACCTATTCTATGCATTTCCAACTGCTTATAGTAATTCACCACCTATTCTTTGCATTTCCAACTGCTTATAGTAATCCACCACCTATTCTATGCATTTCCAACATGTGCTACATTACTTTCCTATCCACTCTTTTACATTTTTTTTTTTTAAACAAGTCGGCCGTCTCCCACCGAGGCAGGGTGACCCAAAAAAGAAAGAAAATCCCCAAAAAGAAAATGCTTTCATCATCATTCAACACTTTCACCACACTCACACATTATCACTGTTTTTGCAGAGGTGCTCAGAATACAACAGTTTAGAAGCATATACGTATAAAGATACACAACATATCCCTCCAAACTGCCAATATCCCAAACCCCTCCTTTAAAGTGCAGGCATTGTACTTCCCATTTCCAGGACTCAAGTCCGACTATATGAAAATAACCGGTTTCCCTGAATCCCTTCACTAAATATTACCCTGCTCACACTCCAACAGATCGTCAGGTCCCAAGTATCATTCGTCTCCATTCACTCCTATCTAACACGCTCACGCACGCTTGCTGGAAGTCCCCAAGCCCCTCGCCCACGAAACCACCTTTACCCCCTCTCTCCAACCCTTTCAAGGACGACCCCTACCCCTCCTTCCTTTCCCTATAGATTTATAGTGGACCCCCGGTTAACGATATTTTTTCACTCCAGAAGTATGTTCAGGTGCCAGTACTGACCGAATTTGTTCCCATAAGGAATATTGTGAAGTAGATTAGTCCATTTCAGACCCCCAAACATACACGTACAAACGCACTTACATAAATACACTTACATAATTGGTCGCATTCGGAGGTGATCGTTAGGGGGGGTCCCCTGTATTTTCTTTCCATGTCTTTCTACTTTGACCCCATTCTCTCAAAATCCCCAAACCACCTCAAAAACCCCCCTTTTCTGCCCTTGACTAATCTTTTTTTAACTCCAAAACCTTCTTCAAATTTTCCCAAACCACTCCAAATTTTTTCTGCAAAAAATTTACATCCACATTGCCCTTAACAGGACTTCTAAAATTTTTGCCTCCAACCCCCCCCTTTCGCTGCGGCATTTACCACCCAAGTTTCCCACTCCAAATAAGAATTTTTGGTACACTATACTTTAAAAACCTTTCCCCCTTCTTTGCCTCCATAGATAGCTTTTTTTGACTCCACATAAAAACCTAACGCACCACTCCCCTTTTTTTTTTTCCCTCATCAATTCTATGATTAATCCCCAATCCTTCAAAAAACCCAAACCGCCGACCCTTTCAACTCCCAAGAAATCTAAAACTTTCCACTTCTCCATACCCCCCTCCCCCCCCCAATTTGAAAATTCCAATTTTTTTTTATCAAAATTTAAATTTGAAAACCCCATAAACCTTTACTCTTTTCAAAGGGTTTCATTTTCAACTTTCTTTCCCTTTACACACTTTCCCCCCAAACCCTTCATCCACAAACCCTTTTTGGAAAATTTTTCTTTAGAATCTCCCATAAGCACAGTATAAACAGCAAAAAAAAACTGTGCAATTCCCTTTTTAAAATTTTGTTTCCCCCCAAAATTTTTAATCCCCCCCCCCTCCCCCCAAACCCATCCTAGCATTTACTTCTTTTACAACCCCTTTTCTATAAATATTTTAAACAACCTTTGGTGACATTACAAAACCCTTTCTAAGACCTACTTTTACCGGGAAGTTTCCCCCCTTTTTTCTACAAAACCTTTAAAACCTGACCTCACTTTCCCCCAAAAAACTCTAACAAAATTTTAGAAACCTTACCACCTATTCCATAAATTTGAAACCCCATCTGCCACATTGCTCCCTATCCACTCTATCAACCCTTTTTCCCAAATCCATAAAAGCAATAAAAATTCCCTACCTTTTCTAAAAAACTTTTCACATAATGCTTCAATGAAAACCCACTTGATCTACACACCCCTACCCCCTCGGGACCCTCCCTCCCTCAAAAACCGCAATCCTACATTCTTTTCTTACCTCTAATTTTTTTCCAATTTAAAACCCCAAAACCGTATATTTTTTCCGGGTATACTCAGAAAACCCTTTAAACCATCCCCTTTCCAAACCAAAAAGTGGGAACAAACAGCTCCCTACCTTTCTAAGTATTTTTCATTTATAACAGTGGAACCTCGGTACTCAAACAGCCCCTTTACCAAAAAAAGCTCGGGAAACTTAAACCAAACTAAAAACCGATGCACTAGAATTTGCGGGAAAAACTTTTCGTGTTTCTTTTTTCGCATTTTTTTTTTTTTTGTATAAATAAGTCACCATGGCCCCTACAAAGATTTGTGATAACACCAACCAAAAAGAAAAATTTGGGTTGGGGAAAAATTTTGTTTTTACTCAAACGGATCGGCACTCGAACAGCCTTCCCGGGAAAGAGCTAAGTTCGAGTACCAAGGTTCCACTGTACTTTAATGTAAAAACTTAGTTGACACATTTCTCAACCTTTTCCCCAAGTCCCCTTTTTCCTTTTGCTAACCGCTTTGGTTTTTTTCCCCTGATTCTTTCAATAATAATTATGCCTTTTTTTTCTTACTTTGGGATACTCAACAAACTTAGTTTTCCCTAAAAAGCTTACATTTTCCTCATGATGATGGCTTTCCCCTTTTTCTAGAGTGAAGAGTTTTTCATCTTCCTATAAACCCCCTGATACCCTTTTTTGCTTTAAATTAAATTTACCTTTTTGTGTGGGGTTTGGGCTTTTTTTCCCGGGGGGAATTTTTTTTTTTTAAAAAACCCCGATTTGCTAAGGGGGCCCCCCTTTTTTCCCGTTGGGTTTGGATCTTTTTCCCAAAGGAGTATTTTGAAACTGTTCTTCCTACTATTTAGATAACCTTTTTTCTCTCCCCGGGTTTGGTAAATTTGAAAGATGTCTTTTTTATTTTTTTCCCCCAAAGACTCCTGAAAAGTCCCCCTTTGTACATTCAGGAATTTTTCCCCAAATTATAGAGTATTTAAATAAATACTAAAAACCCTTCTAAAAAAAAAATTTCCCCCATTCCCTCTTCCAAACACAGTCTATAAAAATAAGTGGGGGGACACTTAATTTTTCCCCCCGGCCCTCACTGGGTTTAAGGGGTGCCTTTTTTGATACCACAGTAAAAGTTTTCCCCCCCCCCCTTAAAAAAGTTTCCTTTCCATTGGTGTTTTTTTTGATAAATGGGAAAAGGGACATCAAGAAAAATTTGGGTAATAGTGCTAGGTTATGTATTGGGAAAAAAAAATGAATGAGTTAATATAGTTTTTTCTTAGCTTTTCCCCAACACTTAAAAAGGGAGCATTTGGGTGGTCCCTTTTAAATTTTATGATGCCCTAGTTTAAAACTTTTCTTATCTATGCCCCCCAAAAAACCATTACAAACCCTATGACTTTTTATTAGGAAAGCCCTTTATAATTTATGTTTTCACATAAAAAGAGGCTGTAATTATTTGAGCCAGTTAGTTACTACCTACACACAGTACTGAGGTTTAAAAAAGGGAATTTTATAATCAAATACTTTTATCTAGTTCACTGATCACTGGCCAAAAAATTTAGCCTAAAAACCCCGATCGTGAAATTCAGGAAAAAGCTCCCTCCTAACACCCACAATATTTTAAATCATAATTATTTGTGTGTAAAATATGCTGGTAAGTCCTGAGAGGTAAAGCAATAACCTAAAACCATTAGGATCACTAACATTGTATCATGCCTGAATAGGTAAAACACTCAAGAACTATAGAGGATTTTATAAGATATGGTATATGGATTAATTGCAATCAACCATGAGACATCGAAAAAACAGAGGAGTTCTTACTATTGTACCATTGGTTCTGAAAGCATGTGATCCCAGCATTAACCATCAGTTGTAGATAAAACTGACCTTGTCAGTTTACAAGTAATTGTATTATTAAAATGACAGATAAAGAGGGGAAAAAAAATTACAGTATTTTCAAATCTTTTTACAGTTACGTGAGACAGATGCAGATCTGGACCAAAGCTCAAGAGTTCTCAATACTATGTTACGACGGGTCTTGCAAAATAGATTCATCTTGTATGCAGCTTTTATTGCAGTAGGTCTTGTCATAGCATTGGCAGTCTACTTCTCGGTTAGCAGAGGATGACAATGAAGTTGCATTATCACATAATTATATACAAATGTACATATTGCTTTAACTCATTCTTTATTGTAGACTTTATATTGTATTTCAGTACCATTGCTTCATTAACCAGAATTGCTTAATGCAAGCATTTAAGTGTTGAATGAATTCATATTTAGCAGAAAGCATGCATGCATATATATAATATATATATATATATATATATATATATATATATATATATATATTATATATATATATATATATATATATATATATATATATATATAATATAATATATATTATAATATATATATATATAATATATAATATATAATATATATATATTTATAATATATATATATAATATAATATATATATATATAATATAATATATATATATAATAATATATATATATATATATATATATATTATATATATATTTTATATATATATATATATATATATATATAATTATATATTATATATATATATATATATATATATATATATTCTTCTTCTTTTCAACGTACCAGCCCAAAAAAGAAAGAAAATCCCCAAAAAAGAAAATACTTTCATCATCATTCAACACTTTCACCACACTCACACATTATCACTGCTTTTGCAGAGGTGCTCAGAATACAACAGTTTAGAAGCATATACGTATAAAGATACACAACATATCCCTCCAAACTGCCAATATCCCAAACCACTCCTTTAAAGTGCAGGCATTGTACTTCCCATTTTTCCCGGACTCAAGTCCGACTATATGAAAATAAACCGGTTTCCCTGAATCCCTTCACTAAATATTACCCTGCTCACACTCCAACAGATCGTCAGGTCCCAAAATACCATTCGCCCCCTTCACTCTAAAACACGCTCATGCACCCCTCTGGAAGTCAAGCCCCGCCCACAAAACCCCCTTCCCCTTCCTTCCAAACCCTTTTCGAGGGACAACCCTTTCCCCGCCTTCCTTCCCCCTTTTTATTATATATAGTTCCTGGGTGGGAGACGGCCAGCGAAATTTTTTTTTTTTAATGAACTGGCCATTTTCCCCATTGGGGACAGGGGCCAAAAATGAAAAATGAGGGGTTTTCCCCTTTTAAAATTTAGTAATTTTACAGGAGGAGGAGTTTACAGCCCCTTGCTCCGACATTTTAGTCCCCTTTTTAAGACATCTGGTTTTACGGGGAAAAAACTTTTCCCCTTTCCCCCATAGAGAAATGGGAAAAAAAAAGAACAAGAATTTTAAAAAAAAGAAGAAAGCTAGATTGGTGTGTGTTATACACTCCCATGTACAGCTTTATGTAGTGTGAGTGGTAAAGATATACCTGGTATCCCTTCTATAAAATTTTTTTTTAAAATTTTTAAATAATTTAACCTTGAAAGTGTTGTGGGACATTGGGGACAAAGTATATTTTGAAAAATGGAAACCACTAGTTGTGAAATTTTTGAAGGGTAGCTTCATGGGTTTTATGACTTTGACTTAATAAATGTTTTGGGTTAGTTTTAAAAAGTGAAAGGGGAAAAAATTTTTTGTTATACGTAGGGCCCCCGCTTTTTGGCGTTTGTTTATGGGGTTCCACTAAAACGGCTTTTTCAAAATTTTGACCAAAATTTTCTATACGGCAAGCAGTCTTTCAAATACTGCACGCACCACCTGATTTGTATACATTCTCCATGAGCACATCTCTCTGTTATGTAATAATAATCACTCTTGGGCACATTAAATGTCTAATTTTACATCAATATAGACATTTTCATTAATCCATCTATGATATTTTCTTCAAAATTATATAAGAAACAGGTTACATAGCATATAAACATGCTGCTTATGTGCTATGGAGTTGTGGTTGCCAGGTGGAGGGAAAACATTACGTAATACTAATAATAATCACTCTTGGGCACATTAACCCTTTGACTGTTTTGGTCGTATATATACGTCTTACGAGCCAGTGTTTTGGACGTACATACTCAATAATGCTAGTGGCTTCAAATCAAGCAGGAGAAAGCTGGTAGGCCCATATGTGAGAGAATGGGTCTGTGTGCACCACATAAAAAAATCCTGCAGCACGCAGTGCATAATGAGAAAAAAAAAAAGACTAATTTTTTTGGGGGGGATTAAAATGCCAACTTTGAGGTGTATTTTCTTATAGTATTTATTGTTGTATTCACGTTTTCATGGTCTCACATGATAAAATGGAAAACATATTGCAGAAATAGAGATGATTTTGATTAGTTTCATGAAAACGACCTTGAAATTGAGCTCAAAGTAGCAGAAATGTTTGATTTTTACCAATGTTCAAGAGTAAGCAAATCACACCACATGTCCAATACACGTCAGCTGGGGAGTCTAATATTCTTTCACTAGTGCACTGATATTATTTATACCATTTTTACAATAATGCAGTAGTCTGCATAACAGTAAATTTTGTATTTTTTGTATGAATAAAAAATCAAAATAGAAAGCAATAGTAATACAGTGGACCCCCAGTTCGCGACATTAATCCGTTCCTGAGAGCTCATCGTAAACCAAAATTATCGGAAAGCAAATCAATTTTCCCCATAAGAAATAATGGAAATCAAATTAATCTGTGCATGACACCCAAAAGTATGAAAAAAAAAACTTTTACCACATGAAATATTAAGTTTAATGCAATAGAATAATTACAATAACAATAAAATAATAACAATAGAATAATTGACACTTACCTTTAATGAAGATCTGGTGATGATTGATGGGATGGGAGGAGGGGAGAGTGTTGAACCTATTGTTTAGAAGGGGAATCCCCCTCCATTAGGACTTGAGGTAGCAAGTCTTTTTCCGGGGTTACCTCCCTTCTTCTTTTAATGCCACTAGGACCAGCTTGAGAGTCACTGGACTTCTGTCACACAACATATCTGTCCATAGAGGCCTGTACCTCTTGTTTCTTTATGACTTTCCTAAAGTGGTTCACAACATTGTCAGTGTAATAGTCACCAGCACAGCTTGCAATAGCTGTGTTAGGGTGATTTTCATCCATAAAAGTTTGCAGTTCAACCCACTGTGCACACATTTCCTTAATTTTTGAAGTAGACACAATGGATTTCCACAACTGACATAGGCTTCTCAGGTTAGCCCCAAACCCTTCAAAATCTTTCTTAATTTCCATACTAATTCTCACCCTTTTTACCACAGGGTTGGCACTAGAAGCTTTCTTGGGGCCCATGGTGACTTATTTTGCAGAAACAAGCACCAAAAACAGTGATAATATGGAATGTACCAAATGTATCCTTAGATGCGCGCACACTGGCTGGCTTGTAAACACTGGCACACACGGGGCAGTTCAGGCCACACGTGAACACGTCTCGTACGAATCGTATCGCATACCGGGTTTTGTAACGGGACCCGAGGCAAATTTTTTGCGATATAATGCATCGGATACCGGATTTATCGGATACCGATAGCATCACGAACCGGGGGTCCACTGTATAAGAGGGGCCTCGAGATGTGACTAATGAACAGAGGATATGTTATTTTAGTGCCAAGAATGTCTATGTTGCTTATTTTGGACCCTATTTAGAAATTGGCATCTTTTTTAATTTGCGTGAAATTGGCCAAATTGCCAATTTCTGACCACTTTATTGGGTAGTTCAAATCAGTAAATGGGCGGTTTCTTGTACTCAGTTGATAGAAAAAATGGAGTTCTAAAGAACTAGCTATGAGTTTGGTCAACTGGAACAATGGAATTGGCCAAAAACAGGGCTCAAAGTCGGCGAAATCGCCAATGCGTATATGTCGCTGACACCGCTAACTTCGCAGGAGCATAATTCCGTGAGTTTTCGACCAAATTTCGTACTTTTGGTGTCATTATCATCGGGAAAAGATTATCATTTCATAAGAAAATTTTTTTTTTTTTTTTCCAAAAAATTTTGCAACATAGAATGACAGTTTCAGAAAGGGGCTTGCAACAGTCAGAGGGTTAAATGTCATATTTTATGCTAATATAAACATTTTCATTAATCCATCTATTATATATTCTTCAAAATTATATAAGAAACACATTACATAACACACAAACATTTTGTTTATATACTATGGATGTGTGGTAGCCAGGTGGAGGGAAAACACTACATCACTCCCCTTAATACATAATGCTTTTGTTTACAATTCTTGGCTTGAATTATTCATTAATTCTCCCTCTGTTTATGATGGCATCTAAAGGTAGTTGTTATAAACGATTAAACTCAGTGAACATGGCATGTCAATGGTGGTAATATGGCTCTGGGCCACATTAAATATAGTGTAGCTATGTAGGTTGGTGTATGTATGTAGCCCAGGCAGACTACATACCTACTTATTATTATAACTGATAATTATACGTATGTGTACCTGTACCTAGGTAAACTTACACACTGCTGGCATGCAGGTACACATTAAAATCACTATGAGTGTCTTATTAGTCTTGAAGACACCACATTAATAATGATGATAATAATAACACAATAATAATCACTCTGAGGAGCATTAAATATATAAAATGCTAATATAGACATTTTGCTTAATCCATCTAAATACACCCCACAGTAGAATAAATTAATATAAATATGAGATGTGGTAGCCAGGCGACTTGTAGGACTTGTGGTAGCCAGGCGACTTGTAGTAGCCAGGCAACTTGTGGTAACCAGGTGACTTGTAGGACTTGTGGTAGCCAGGCGACTTGTAGGATTTGCAGTAGCCAGGCGACTTGTAGGACTTGTGGTAGCCAGGCGACTTGTGGTAGCCAGGCGACTTGTGGTAGCCAGGCAACTTGTGGTAGCCAGGCGACTTGTGGTTGCCAGGCAACTTGTAGGACTTGTGGTAGCCAGGCGACTTGTGGTTGCCAGGCAACTTGTAGGACTTGTGGTAGCCAGGCGACTTGTAGGACTTGTGGTAGCCAGGCGACTTATAGGACTTGTGGTAGCCACTCAACTTGTAGGACTTGTGGTAGCCAGGCGACTTGTAGGACTTGTGGTAGCCAGGTGACTTGTAGGACTTGTGGTAGCCAGGCGACTTGTAGGACTTGCGGTAGCCAGGCAACTTGTGGTAGCCAATTGACTTATAGGACTTGTGGTAGCCAGGCAACTTGTAGTCCAACATCAGAGAAAATGTGTCACTATAATATTACTGGGGGTAACTAGAAAATTATTCCTTTTGTATGCCTTCACTCAGGA